AACCCTAAAAAAGTGACTGCAAGAATAAAAATAAAGGAAAGGAGACCTTTATACAAATATTCGTTCTTATTTTATTTTCATTAATTATTTGTTTATTTTGTGAAAGGCCAAGTAGCAAATTGGTCGTGGCCTCTTTCGTGTAGGTATGACTGGTCTTCGGACGGATCGGAATCATCCAAAATATTTTGGAATGAAAATTATTTTCCAATTCTGTTACAAAAAAAATTGGAAACTTACAAATGGTTAAAATTTTAAACATGTCCAACCATTTTTATTTTTTATTTTTTTGGTCAAGGCAAACTCCATTCGTTACAAGAGTTTGAAGCAAGGCCCATAAGACATAAAAGCTCAAAATATTACAAAACAGAATTTTAATACAAGCAATGCCCACATAGATAGACCCAACGATTTGAAAGCTTAAAATTGAAGACTTGTACAAAAAACTCGAAAAACTATTATATGTTGTTATCTCTTATGAAAATACTTGTCTATGTCTATTTAGTCATTGAGTCATATTTAGTTAAACATGAAATTAGTTATTAAGTGTAATCTTAAGCATGAAGCCACAATATATTTTGGAATTCGGAAGTTACATGATCTTAAAATACATTCCAATTCCAATCCAATTTTATTTTTCAACATTTTTGAATTTCGGAACTTTCAAATGTCGGAATTAATTTAGACTAGCCAAATTTAGAAATTTACAAGTCGGAATCGGAATTTCCATCCAACTTGCGTCCTTAGGTGTGGGTGAGAAAATGTATAAGTTGGTGGTGTCACTGGCTCACTGTCATGTCGGATTTGTGCGAGATCCTTCAAGTCGTGGCCTCTTCGATAGGTATGTATCTAGCATGTCGAGTACCACACAAAAACCCACCATACCCAAATTATTATTCTCATACCAAACTCCTTCTCGTTAGATGTCTTTAGTGATATAATTATGGGTGGACATCAATTTGGCCGAATCGGCTAAAGTGACTTATGCAAACCGTAATGGTCGATTTGGTTTGTTTTATTTTTATGAAGAAAAAATTCAAACGGTTCAAAATCAAATATAGCCGTAATAGTTTGGTTCAGTTGCGATTTTGACCTTTTGCAAATCAGTCTAAATGAACTATAATATATTATTGATTTATTATATTTGATATAATTTATAATACCATAAAGAATATGCTTTAGCACATGTTTTTTTTTTCTTTTCTCTTTTGGTAGATTTATCTATCTTTTGAACATTTATAATGTAAGTACTCTGGAGGTGTAAAAGATACATAACTGGTTAATCACTTTTCTCTTGATCATAAGGGTTAAATTAATCGCTTAAAAAGATCTATATACATAAAGCAAAAGGCAGAGAATAGTGAAACATTCAAAATACCAAAAAATGCCCTTAGTTAATTCAAACATTAATAATTGAAATTATTAATTAAATGAGGATAATATGGTAAATTCACTTTTTTTACATTAAAAAAATAAAAATAAACAAAAAAATCAGATAATAGGTCATACTTTTATGGAACATAACTACCCATGCTATCTTTTCTTAATTCTAATAATGATAAAATAAAATCCACTTTAAAAATAAAAATAAAAAACATAATCCATTGGATTTAAATTGGGTCACCAAATTCACCTTTGAGTTTAGTGAATCCCAAATGGGCCTATCACTTGATATATGCAAATCATGGACCCTCCTCCTATTAACATGAATTGGTCCAGCACGTAGGCAAAAACACTCTAAAGCCCATTATGCCCATCAGAGTCAGATGTGCTTTCCCAACAAATTCGAGATGTAATACAACTGTTCGTTCCAGTTAACCGAAGACGTCGGTGTTTGAGAGTGGTGGTTCGGTGTCGGTTCAAGAAATGCCTCTACCGAGACTCTCGGTTCCAAGTAGTGAAAAAAATATTTCAAGTAGAAATCGTATGAGTGTAGGAAATCTATTAGAAAGAAAAATATATTGCAATACAAGAAAGTTTCTCTCCATCATTTGTGTTCCCGTTACTATTTACCCAACGAGTATAAACTGATGATAGTCTAAATCATTTTCTTGAATGTGAAGTAAGTGTTACGCTACTATACTATAAGTGACAAAAAGTCGTTGACTACCAAAACATTGTTCTAAAGGTGACTAAGATAACACTTAGATGGATGCTTCGGTTAAGAACTTCATGTTGAGGCGTGTGAATGCACTATTTTAATAGATCGCTATATCCAAATGAAGTAAATTATGACGCTATATCCTCGAGGATACAAAATAGCTAATATGAGCAAACATTTGCAGCAAGGTAAAAGAAATGGGCAAGCAAAGCATGAGCATCACATCAGATCAAATCCGAAAGATCATGAAGAGGTGTTTTTGTCATTCGTCGTGGGGAGCAAATCAGATGGGTTTGTGGCGTGTTTGTACCATATCTGATCCTCCACTCATCCATTGACACGTGGATCACTTAAACTCCCAAGTGCCCAAGGCTCCGAACAATCAGTATCGGCTACCGATGATATTGTCTCAAAGCAGCAAAAGGTCGCTACAGGCCCAGCACAGTCTACAATCGGTATTTCCTACTGATTCTGCAGAATCAACCTCGAAGCACCCGCCCGAAATATCTAGAGACTCGTGTCAACCTCATAGGGCTCTCCCACGAGTCCCACATCGAAATTAAGTACTAAGAGCATACAAAATACCCTCTATAAATAGACCCCTTCACTACAATACATGGGTAAGACTTTTCAGCTTGACTTTTATACTAATATATTGTCAACAGCAAAAGCTCCAAGCAAACAAACTTACTTTGGCATCGGAGGGTCTTAGGCTGGTTCCACACCGGTTCCATAGACCTCACGAGTCTTGTCTTCCTTCCATTCAGGATCAGCGTCTGAGGACAGGAAGAATCTGCATCCAACACTCAATCGATCTCTCGATCGTCCATATCACTTGTAAGTTGCACTCATCTCTATCTGTTTAGTTTTGGTGCCAACATAGCGCATCTTTCAGTACAAAATACTTGAAACATAAAAAAAAAATGAGAAAAAAAAAATTGACCACCAAACACTTGGCATTTAACGCCAAATTTTAATTCAATCATAAACAAACAAACAAACAAAAAACAATATTTTTTTAGCATATGCACATCAATCTGATTCTGACCTTTCCCCATACATTTATATTTGGCAATTCCAAATTTATAAATTAAATGTCATTAAATCCTCAATATTAAAGATTATCATCTAACCAAACATTCTTTAAAAAATATATATATTCATCTAACCCAACATATAAAAGTAACAGATTATCAGTTTTGACTTCGGTTGTCTTTTTTTTGTTTTTAATTATTTATAAAGAGATTATGGGATATATTCATAATTCAATCAAAAAAATTACTAACCAATATAAATTAGCCACAAAGGGAGACTAACAATCGCACATGATCGAAAAAACTCTAGCATAGGCTTCCCAACTAAGAGTGCAAATTCAGAACAACCAAAAATAGATCAAGCTTGAAAAAACCAAGCCATAACAATACAAATAAAGCTTTGATAAAGGAGAGGGGAAAAACTCTCACAAATGAGAGCTAAAAACTACACAGAAAACCCAAAGAGTCTCTGCGACTTATTCCAAATATGAAGAAACTACAAAAAAAGATGGTGGTATAAATCCGACACTAAAACACATGTAGAGATTCGACACTAAGATGTATCAACCTGTGATGAGTGGAGGAAAATTATTACAAAATGTAAACAAATAAGGAAAACCTTTTATCTTTGAAAAGTAGGAAAAATATGAGAAGGGAGAAAGAGGGAGAAGGGGAGAGGGGATGAAGAACAGTGGCTTCCTCCCCCATGCAAAGTGAAAACGTCTGTAGAGTGTTTTTTGGGAGAGAGGAGGTTAGGGTTTTCACTTAAATCAAATAATGGGATTAGAACATTGCAATTAACATAATCTACTTTCATCTGACATATTCTCACTCTATGTTGTGTATTTTAATCTTATCATACTATACGCGTGTTATTTGTGTCGATGAAAACTATATATGCATTACATTAATAATAATCTAACCTTCAATACTTTATGTAATGGTTAGTCAATATCAAGGAAGACAATTTTTATACACAAGATACCACGACTTGTACATGACACAAAATTAGTGGGACTGTGTTGATTAGTGTTGGCATGACATGATGACACGAATACAAATAGAACTTGACTTGCAAGACAAAAAATCTTTAGGGGGTCTATTAATCATACGGCCTAAAATTGGGAATTACAAAACAATATGGATTAAGCTTGAATTTTGATGGAGAAGATGTGGGTTTGGTGGGAAAGGCCATTGGTTATGTTTTTGTTGGGTGCGGGGAGTAAATTATTGAACTTTTATTAAATCTTGTTGGGTGTAGAAAATTTGGTGGGTGGAACAAGTAGTTAACAATTGACCGTCGCCGTCCTATCTATGCTCAGTTGTCAAAAAAGGTCAGAAATCAAAGTGGGCCCCAATTGCGGAGCCCACACCGTCGCCGTCCTTAAAAATAATCAGGCTTTTTCCCTGCAGTCCGGCTGACGAAATTACCCGATTGAGCCACGTGGGGCCTCCTCGTCGAATCAGATACGAGCTTTTCGGACACCAAACGCCAGGCCGCCACGTGTACGACCCCACCACACTGTTCCCACATCAAATCAGATCCGCGCTCCACGTATGACGCTTGTTGGCCAGAAAAGCCTTGAAGAGAGCGATTGCGTGCCTCTGCCTCTGCCTCTGCATCAACCTCAGTTCGAAACTGCCAAATCCCACCTGGTTTTGCTCTCCATAAAAGGACAATTAAGTAAAATTACGTAGTTATATTCAGAATATTAAACGTTTTTGCTCTTAATTAAGCAATGTTGATGTAGTGATCTGCACTAATCTGAAAAAGTTGAAAATGAGCGTTTTCTGGAAGATATAGAGAGAGAGAGAGAGAGAGAGAGAGAGAGAGAGAGAGTAAGCCGAGAAAACCGTGATTTGAGAAAATGGGATTCTTCAGTACGATTTTTGGGTTTTGTGGATTTGGACTTGGTATATCGATTGGTCTTGTGGCTGGCTATTTTCTTTTCATCTACGTCCAATCTACCGATGTTCAGGTTCTCTCTTATATTTTGTTTTTTTGATATAACATCCTCAATTTGCCTTCGTTTTGATATATTTTACTGTTTTTTCTATATTGGGTTTGGCTTCTTTTAGCTGAATTTAATGCTGTGAGAAAGCCAAATGGAATGTGAATTGATTTGTGTCTTATTTGAATTCTCAGAACCAACCAGGCTATGATTTGTTTTGTGTTTTCGTTTTCTTGTCAAATTATGCAAGCTTGTCAAAGGCTTGTTTCTCTTTGCCATTTGGTGGTGTTGTTGATTAGTGCAGAGAAATAACAAGTTCCTTAGAAATTAATGGCTATTGGTATATATACATTTATCTTATGTGCATGTGTATACAGTGTGAGTGTGTGATGCTGCATTGTTATATGCATTTATTGACTAGTCTTTCGGTCAGAAATAAATAGCAAGGGGTTTGTAGCTCAAGTGACTATGAGCATTTACCCCTGTACCTGAGGTCTTAGATTCGATTCCCCCCTCCCCCAATATCGTTTGTATAAAAATAAATAAAAAATTGGTCAAAAACAAATATGTCCTGCATTTAGGTGGAGTAGGAGAGATTCTTAAGTCAGCTTCACAATCATGAAGCAAGCAATGTAGGTGCTCTATGCTTGTTGCTGCAGTTATGACAACTCAGTACTCACAGAGGCTTGAAGCCGTTAGCACATCATGTCCGCAAGTGGGTTTTACAGAGAAAGGATATAAATGTAGAGAGAAAAAAGAAAAACTGGAAAAACATGTGCAGTGTGTGTTGCATATGTTTGTAAAGTATGACATGCCTATCTGTGTTTGTCTAAGTCTAATTCATTGCCTTGGGTTGGCCAGAATCCTGAAATTCGTCCTCTGGTTGATCAAGATACGGAAACGTTACAGCGGATGCTTCCTGAGATACCTCTTTGGGTGAAAAATCCGGACTATGATCGTGTAAGGAACTAATATCTGTAACTATTCATTGATGTCATTTATTATGGGTCTTAACAGCTAGTGTTTTATCACTTACACTGTTACTGATATTTTCTTCTTTTCTATGTGAAGCTTGATTGGCTAAACAAATTCCTTGAGTATATGTGGCCTTATCTGGACAAGGTGATTTATATTGTCTTATTGTTCTTGGAATATTATGTTTTCAATCTTAGTTTGCTTTTCTCATCTATTCTTTACTTCTTATTGATGGTTCATGGCTTTCTATTTAATTTTTTTTGTAGGCAATCTGCAAGACTGCAAAAGAAATTGCAAAGCCCATAATAGCTGAGGAAATTCCAAAGTACAAGATTGAGTCTGTTGAATTTGAAACACTGACTTTAGGTTCCTTACCACCAACTTTTCAAGGTTAGTAAACTTGAGATTTCACTTTAGAGTCTCTCTATTAAAAATGCCTCGTCTGAGAATTATTGGGAGCTTCGGAACCAGCTTTGGCAGCTCACTGTGTTCTTGAGTTGTGAGGAGAATTTTTAATAATTTTTTTGAATACTTTTTTTTTCTTTCTATTTGAGGCTAATTTATATGAGTAATTCAAAGGAAAAATAGAAATATTTGATAGGATCCGTATTGGAAACGTAGAATGTAAGAAAAAAAAAGCGGACTCCCCTACCAAATCAGTGAACGAGGTTTATACGAGAGGCAACTTAGACGCCGTTGTTTCTTCCTACCTACCTCTTCACTTGATTACTTATAAGTAATGGGAAAAGTGGTTGACTTGATGTTTAGGTATTTTATTGGTCTTGTGTTTGTTTTTGGATATAGATTCATACACACACACACACACAGGTCTTGTGTTTGTTTTTGGATATATATATTGACACACACTCACACACACACCTATATTGTACATACGACGTGTTTTCCCAAGTTTGCATTTAAATTTTTGCATCTTATTGGTTTTAGGTATGAAAGTTTATGTCACCGATGAGAAGGAGTTGATTATGGAACCCTCCATAAAATGGGCTGGAAATCCTAACGTCCTTGTTGCTGTGAAAGCATTTGGATTGAAGGCAACTGTTCAGGTTTATGCTCTACTTTGCTAGGAAAATGTTCTACTGTTAGTTTATTTGTATGCAGGTAAGAGAGAAACGAGAGAGATAAAGGGATATAAATGCTTCTGTCGTTGCTTTATTGTCTGGTTCATTTCAGGTGGTGGATTTACAAGTTTTTGCTGCTCCACGTATTACTTTGAAGCCGTTGGTTCCAAGCTTTCCTTGTTTTGCCCAAATAAATGTATCTCTCATGGATAAGGTTAGTTTTGCGGTGAAATAAAATTTTAATAATGGCATCTTTGGGAGTTGGATTATCTGGTTAATTTTGGCACTTGGCTACAGTATTGTAACTGCAGCTACATAGTCCTGGTCTATTATAATTTTGCAGCCCCTCTTTATCGTACAAGTTTTACCTTACTTTAAACTGGGCATTTTTTGAAGTCCAGATTAATCTGTTACATTCTTTGTTGAATCTATTTAGTGTTGGTTCATGATTTCCACCGGAAAAGTTTTTATTTAGATCTTATGCTTTTCATTACTAGTCCAATCTTCTCCTTGATTATTTCTTGTGGTTTTGCAGCCTTATGTTGATTTTGGATTAAAGCTAATAGGAGCTGATCTTATGTCAATACCTGGCCTTTATAGATTCGTCCAGGTAGAGTGCCTTTCTCTGTTCCTGTCCTTTACACATATGTACCCCCCCTATTTTGTAAACACACATGCCATACATAGATTGATCAGTAAGATGAAAGATTAAGGGAAGTTTAATGTTGCTTTATTTCTTACATTTTGTGGCCCCTACATTGGTGGTGGAAGTTGAATGCAGCAGTTCATTGTTTAAGCTGATTTTTCACAAAAGAATCTTCTCCTTCTGTGATGCTTATCAGTTTCATAATAATGGTTTTAACTGTGTTAGAACGGGGTTTTCTGTAGGAGCTTATCAAAGATCAGGTTGCTAACATGTATCTGTGGCCGAAAACTCTTGAAGTACCAATAATGGACCCCGCGAAGTACGTCTCTGCATTTGTATGAAATTTGTTGTGACAAATACTTTTTATTTAGTTTGGCTGAAAAAAACTACTTGGACTTTGCAGAGCCTTTAACAGGCCCGTAGGAATTCTCCATGTGAAGGTTCTGAGGGCAATGAAGTTAAAAAAGAAGGATCTTCTTGGTGCTTCGGACCCTTATGTGAAACTAAAGCTCACGGAGAACAATCTCCCATCACACAAGACCAGTGTCAAGCTCAAGAACCTGAATCCTGAATGGAATGAGGAATTTAACATCGTTGTTAAAGATCCGCAATCTCAGGCTTTAGAACTTCTTGTTTATGACTGGGAGAAGGTATATTATTTCAGTTTATCATCAGAAGCCATATGTATTGTTTTAATTATGTATGTCTGAAGCATTTTATCCCTTATTTTAGGTGGGCAAACATGAAAAAATGGGTATGAATGTAGTACCTCTGAAAGATCTACCCAAGGATGAGCCAAAAGTTTTGACTGTCGACCTTCTTAAAAATATGGATTTAAATGATGCTCAAAATGAGAAGCAGCGTGGGCAGCTTGAAGTGGAATTGACTTATAAACCTTTTAAAGAGGAGGACATGCAAAAGGGATTTGAAGAAACACTGACAGTACAGAAGGCTCCTGAGGGAACTCCACCTGGTGGAGGTTTGCTTGTTATCGTAGTTCATGAAGCTCAAGATCTTGAAGGAAAGCACCACTGTAATCCATCTGCTCGACTTATTTTCAGAGGGGAGGAAAGAAGGACCAAGGTATGAGGATTTTGAGAACATTTGTTTTTTTTTTTATAGGTATCTTGGTTTTGATTCTTGCAGCCCTCTATATACCTTCTCTTTTGTAATCTTAAATGATTGGTCATGGGAATGATCTGTGCAACATTTAGCCTTTAGTTATTACAATGAATGCCTTTTCTAGACTTTTATGCCTAATATTATATGGTTTTCTTCTTTGGGTGTCAAAAGAAGAGAAGGAAAGGAGTCTATGATTCTTAAAGGAGTTTTCATACATCTTTATTCTTATCCTACATACACACATACAAACACTGTCACACACGAGGATGTATGCATCTTTGTCCTTCACTTGAATGGAGACATTAGACAATTTGATCTCCAAATTGTACTCTGAATTGGCTGTCTTGTTTTAATCAACGGAGTTGTAAGAAATGATAGAAGTTCTAAATTCTAAGATTGCTTGTTATTATGTTGATGGATTTCCCTTTAACTGTGCAGCCACTAAAGAAAAGCAGAGATCCACGATGGGCAGAGGATTTTCAATTTATGTGTGAGGAACCTCCCATCAATGACAAATTACACGTGGAAGTTGTCAGCACCTCATCAAGAATGGGCTTGCTCCATCCAAAGGTGTGGATCAAATATCTTTTTTGCATAGTGTGCAATATTTACATAGAAAAATGGGCAGTTATAATGGATTCTGCTGCATGTAGTTGCTGGGACAATCAAGCTGCATTTTAGTTGATCAGATAGTACGCAACTTTTAACTTTTAGGCTAGTATTCCCTTTGCTTAAGAGTTCTTGGTTCTTTATTCATTTTGGTAATGTTACAATCGAAAGTAAATCATGGTTTTTGATTTGCACAATATCATAAATTGTTCTGTCATAATACAATATGGTCATGCTGCTTATGTCCGATTGGCATGCCCTTTGGAAATTCTCCTGTATTGACTGTTTTACAAGATGAAACTGGATATGCCTGGGAACACATGCTTCATTTCAATGGTTTGAGCAACAGTTATTATCTTGTTCTGCACTCAGCTTTGTATTTTCACATCCTTGTTTTGTTTATACATCTGATGGAAACTTTTTTTTTCTCTTTTGGAATCAGGAATCTCTGGGTTATGTTCAGATCAGTCTTTCAGACGTTGTGTCCAACAAACGTATCAACCAGAAGTACCATCTTATAGACTCAAAGAATGGTCAGATCCAGATTGAGCTGCAATGGAGAACTGCTGAATGAGCTCAAACTTTCTTTTTCTTCTTTTTTGTTTTCTCCCCTTTAAACCCTTGAGATGGAACTTGGTACAAGATTTGAGTCTTAGCATACCACTTGATATGGAACTTCTATACTTCATTGTCATCAAATCATATCGATTTGTTTGTTCTTCATGTACATTATTGTAATAATCTTACAGCGAAGCTTATTGCAAAGTGAAAACAAATCCTTGGTATTATCAATTATTGGGTTTGCGTTGCTCATGTTTTAGCTTGGATTTGGCTTTGTTGTGTTTGATTATTTCCAAGCAGTGAAGAGATCTTATTTTTCTTTTTCTTCTTAAAAATCAAACATAAAAATGAAAGAAGAAAAAAGACCTCATTCCTTACCGTGAGGGGATTCGAACTTGAAGGTAAAGGGGGCATTGGCCTAACTTACGTCTGCCTATAGTTTGAAATATGAGGATGAGTTTCACATACTAAAAATGTTGTGGAGAGGTGCAAAATTACTCTTAAGAAAATATTGGTTTTTTTTTTGTGGCCAAGGAATCAAAATATTGGATGAGTTTCATATGGTAATGATGTGGGTACGGGTTTGGGTAACCTGTTTACCCAGCGGGAGGCAAAGAGAATTTTCAACTAGGGGCCGGGTATGGGTTTACGGGGACCGGGGCCGCGAACCCATTACCCACGGCCAGTTTTTTTCTTCTTTTTTTAAGGGTCTGAACCCACGGCCAGTTCAGTCAAACCAACCACCAAAATCTCAATCCCATTACTGTCAGTCACTCTCCCTCATCGTTTCCTCTCTGCTCCGAGTCGCAGTAGCTCTGAGTTTCGGGCTTCAATGGCGTCACCGCTCGTTGATAAAGAGTACCTCAAAGAAATCGAGAAGGCTCGCTGTGATCTCCGTGCTCTGATATACAGCAGAAGCTGTGCTCCCCTCATGCTTCGCTTAGCGTATGCTCTCTCTCTCTCTCTCTCTCTCTCTCTCTCTCTGTGTTTGTTTCCCGAGAAAAAATTGTGATGAAAAGACAATCCGAAGGAAACATTGAGTCGAGATATATTTTTGTTTTCATTTCCTGTGATTTCTCAGTAGCTCAGTGTATCATATCTACACATTGAGCTTTTTTAGTTTTGTTTTTGTAAGTGAAACATTTTGCATGTCATTGTTTGTGTCGATTTTGTTGAAATTATGACTGTTCTTGGATATGTGAATTTGTAGATGGCACGATGCTGGCACCTACGACGCCAAGACGAAGACGGGTGGGCCTAATGGGTCGATTAGAACTGAGGAAGAGTACTCTCATGGTTCTAATAATGGCTTGAAGAAGGCTATCGATTTTTGCGGTATGCTTGTGTTGCTTCATTTTATCAATATTTGTTCCATTTTTTGAACTTTGATCGTATAAATTGTAAAATTTACATTTTAAACATAGGCTGGGGCATTAAGCAAGTTCTGTGTCGTGAGTGCTGTATATAATACTATGTATGATAATTTGTTCACGGGTTGTTTTTTTGAATTTATTTGTGATCTTGAGGAGTTTTGTATTTGTTCTTAGATATGAGCGGTGAACCCAAACATAATTTGTTGTTTAAATAGTGTAACTATGCCACTATTGGTTTTGTTTGCAAATTGCAATTAATAGCTCTAGTCCTGGATGAAAGGGGCATTTAGCAAGTTCAGATGGTTTTACTACATTGCATATGTAGCTCAGCAGACTCACATTGTGCTTACATTCGCTTTGTGCTTACATTAGCTTCAGACTCTCATTTCTAAGAAAAGGGAACTACATTGAAACCGCACATAAGAAAGCATGTATAACAGTTGTCAATATGTACCTCCAAGGTGCCCTACATTTGCCAATATTTGCGTAGTAAAAATACCATTCTTATGGCTATTATACAAGGTTCTCATCGCTTTCTTCATTTATTTATTCTTTTTTCTGGGTGCTTCTCTTTCTGGTGTCAGAGGAAGTGAAGTCTAAGCATCCAAGGATTTCATATGCAGACCTTTACCAGGTGATTATAGTTTTGCAAGAGTTACTCTTCCTATATTTTAGTTCATCCACTTGCAAATTAAGAGATTTTACAAAGATCATAAGAGTTTTTTCCCTTCAATTTGTTGGACATAGCATGGATTCTTTAATGAAGATACTGATTAAGGGACATGATTACTTGTACTTTCAGCTTGCGGGTGTTGTTGCAGTTGAGCTGACTGGAGGCCCCACCATTGATTTTTCTCCTGGCAGAAAGGTATGTTGTGGTCAATGGTCAGTTATTTCAAGAAACAGAGCTAGTCTCCCTATCATTGTTTTTCAAGTTTTCATTTGCTTTTTGGTCTTTTATAGGATTCAAAAATCTCTCCTAAGGAAGGACGGCTTCCAGATGCTAAACGAGGTCTATTCCAATACCTAAGATCACTTCTGCAAATTTTATTTCACCCTACTTTAATGTATTGGTTTTCCGGTTTGCTTTATATACTAGCATCTTGATTGAATTATAACTCATAATTGGGATTTCTCAATTATCCCATGCTATAAGCTGCTTTCATGCGACAACTCAACCCACTTCCGCTCTCCACACACACCCCCCCCAACACTCTCTCTTCTATATTTAAGCATGCTGAAGTTGTTACGCTTGCTTCTGTTTGCTTGCGTATGATTTTCAGTTAAATTGTTTGGAAGATGGCAATTTTTTTTTCCCATAAAAGAGAGTTGCAGTTCTTGTTGGGTTTATAGGTGCACCACATCTGAGGGAAAAATTCTACAGAATGGGGTTGTCTGACAAGGATATTGTTGCACTATCTGGGGGTCATACACTGGTAATTATTCCTTCTTGTTTGCATCTATATATGGTCTTCTTTGGTATTTGACAGACATGTTTACTCTCTGTCATTTTCTGTGGTAATAGGGAAGGGCACATCTTGAGAGATCTGGTTTTGATGGTCCTTGGACTAAGGAACCTCTGCAGTTCGATAACTCATACTTTGTGTAAGACTTGAACATGGGTGTGGTTATGAACCTGTATTTGTACTCATTATGCATTATGCATAAGTGTCTATGGTTATGAACTTTCATTCGTATTCATTGTTGATACCAGGGAACTGTTAAATGGGGAATCAGAGGGGCTGTTGAAACTTCCAACAGATGCAGCTTTAGTGGAAGATCCTGAGTTCCGTAAATATGTTGATCTGTATGCGAAGGTAATTTGGGTTTGGGCTTGTTCAGTTCTATTTTGCTATGAAAAAATGTTTGGGGAATTTATCACTACTTGTTTATATTAACACTCTTGGTTCAGATTCTTAGAATTACTTTAGTCCTTGTTATTATAGAAGCTGGTTGCTGCCCTTACGAAATAATCACATGTGGCCTTACCCATGTTCTCGTGGTGTATATAATCTGATCAACTGATCCACCCTGACATGCCAATCACTTGGGAACTGGTAGATTTAGTTCAAACCGTTTATAAGATGCCTTACTTCTTATATTTCCCTTGTAAGTTGTAAGTTATCCTATAACAACAGGTTTGGGCAAATTGAAAGCGTTTTCTTTCACCAACTTGCAGTGGAGCTTACTCAATTCTATCATCTCTCCTCTCTTTGTTCTATAAAGTTAAATTTTTTAATTATTTTCCTGTGAATTATGCTTTTATGTAAAATTGACATCAATTTGGGCTGGGCTTTTCTCTGAACTGATTTAACTGATACTGGGTTAGATCAGGCTCTTCTTCTACTATGCAGTGACACAACACCTCTTCAGATGATTGTGGCCCCTTCGAAGCTGAGGCTAATTTGGTTAAGTTTCGCATTTGCGATGGGTCTTGGGGCAGGAACCATTTGCGGTTGATACCAAACCCCCAATTTGGTGTTTAGTTGAATTGATTAAACTTTGTTACTTGGCTAGTGATGCACATGAGAAGGTTTGGGGCCTGCCCCAACTGGGGAGACTTATTCATGGAGATGAGTTTTAAAATTAAAACCAGAGGCATGATGTAGATGGTCTTCTCTTGTGTTGTCTGGTCCTACTGTGCATATTTATGATATTATTACGATATTTTAGCTAATATAGTGGGACGGAAAATGCGAGGATGGGAATCAATACACCCCTTGAGGCATAGATGGGGGTGAATGTTTACCTTGAAGCGGGACGCGGAGCAGGGATAGGACCAAAAATTTTTAGGGCAAGGCTGGGAATCTGGGATAGTGAATGCGATCCTGACCCTACTGTGTCTTGTGCCATCCCAATGCTTCGATGTTCCCTAAAATAAGATATCTTTGTCTGTTTATATATCTGTTTTCTTTTGACATTCCTTTTCTTACTTTCATAAATTTGGCATACGGTACAGGATGAAGATGCATTTTTTAGAGATTATGCTGAATCACATAAGAAACTTTCAGAGCTTGGGTTTGCTCCAATCTCCTCTTCTACTAAGACAGCAAAGGACAGCACCATACTGGCACAAGGTGCAGTAGGAGTTGCAGTTGCTGCTGCTGTTGTGATCCTAGGCTACTTGTATGAAGCTAAGAAAAGACTGAAGTAGACTTGCTTAGCCGATTACCTTGTTTTTTTCTTTTACGGCTGGAGATTACCTTGATCCCCTATGAATAAATGACATTGATTATGATTATAGCTGTTGGTTTTTCTTTGGGTTTAACCGAGAGGTTTGTATAACAAGGAGGATTGTCACATGCCTTTTCAGCTTGGTAGCTATATTGGTGTAGTAGAAAGATACTAGTGAACTTTTTCTTCATTTTGAAGTAAATAACGTAACGCACGGATTACTCTTTCAAAGAAAGCGGATTATCATCGTATGCATTCGATTGTTAGGCGTACGGATTACTTCGTTTCCTACTGTAATACAAACATGCATGCATGTGGGGCTTGTGTGCAGATTTACAAGCACTCTACATTTGTATACTGGTGTGATGTGCTAGGGATCTTATTATTCTTTGTACATTGCTTAAGCTACTTCACTCTGGTAGCTCATCCGCTTCTTTTTAGATCCTTGTTTTGTGCCATTTATGGGCCTTACCTATCTAACTCTAAACAAAGGAAAATCCCTAAAACAAGGTCAGTCTGATTGTGATAGGAAGATGGAAGATGGTGTATCAGTCAATGTGACAGCTTGGTGGCAAAATGGGTCCCTGTGACAGCCTCATGCCATAAAACTCATGAACTGAGTTGAGTCCAGCATCCCTATTGATGCTTCGATGCTTCGATGCTTCGATACCCCCTCCGTCGCATTCCCTTTATGTATAAGTTCTTATCCATGAATTGGGTTGCAAAATTTTAATTAATTAATTGTTTCAGAAATAGACGCTGTCTATATAAAAAATGGTACCAAATACTAGGAAAGTAATTAGGAGGAGGCCATTTCAGAAGCTTTATCCACCATGTGGGTCATTGGAAAATAGACCCCCTCCCCTGCGCTTAAGGTTGAGAGAGCCCCACATGGGGGAGGGAGGGCAGCCAAAGAGGTAGGTAAGAGTTTTAGGACAGCCCTCCACTGTCCTATACCTAAGCACATGACCTCCACGTGTTGATGTGCTGGCTCTCACCATACATAATTGTCATACAAAATTTTGCCGATCTAGAGCCATACCCTCCTCCTCATGGCCCCTTAAACCCCATTTACCTAATTGTGATTTGATTCTTTCTTTCTTCCACGTTGATTGTCTCTCTCTTTGCATTGTACATGTGCTAATGTGGGCATTTTGTTGGAAAAACCGGTTGCAGACAGAGACCATTGTGCTAATCTCTGGTGTCTACACACAACCTAACAGGTTTCAATCATTGAGCTCAGTTCGTTAAGAGTTTGGAGATTAATTTTTACAGGTACATTCAATAATGCAAGTTACATTTGGTTTTAACTTTTTTGGGGGTTTCTCTTTTTGAAAGTTACATACAAACTATGTGGCTTTAATGCAAATAGTCGTGTTTGGGACAGTATATGCATCAATAGCTGAGCGCTCATGAGCCGTGTTTGGGACAATATACGCATCAACAGCTGAGAGTCGTCTGCTCACGCTCATGCAAGTGGCTTTATCATTTCTCTTAATGCATAACATATGGATAAGGCTATGTGGGTTTTGTGAGGGAAAGAGAGAAGTACCTTGTGGGGAGGAATGAGATATCATAAATCATGCCAGAGTTCAACATCAAGAGTGAAGGCAAGAAGAAGTTGGACTGGGTGCCATAGGACAGTCAGAAAGGATGAAAGGAAAGAAAAAAAAAGGTAGGTGAAATACACACACAGATAATAACACAAGTGGACCTCTCTCTCTCTCTCTCTCTCTCTCTTTTTGAAAACAACTTCTGCCCATGATCCTTAACTCCTACCATCCACTTGAAATTCATGATGAGAGAGAGTGTGTGTATGTGTGGTGTGGTGGTGGGTAACAAATAATAATAATTTGCAAATTGGAAGGGGGAGGAAGATAACAACAAAAAGGTGAATCAACCTTCCCATCCCTAACCCTACCCCTTGTTGCCTAAACTTGCACCACAAGGTTGGGGGAAAGAAAAAAAAGGAAAAGTGGAGGGTGAACCAAAGCCCACATACAACTACAACCACACTCATTATCTTTTTCCTTCTCTCCTTTTCTTCCATCATCCTGCCCTTGAAACCCAACTTCTAACTCTTCTAGAAGCCCTCACTCTCACCCTCTCTCTCTCTCTCTCTCTCTCTCTCTCTCTCTCTCTCTCTCTCATGCATCACCAATAGAATAAAGAACCACAACTACCCTCTCTGTACTCATGCACAAGAATAGCCAAACCACTTGTGACATTTCTTCCCAAAAACCCACTACAACCAACTTATTAAAATAACAGGCCATTACTTTCCAAACCTAGCTCACTTTCATCTCTGAGCCCTAAATTTTGTTGATTCAGTACAAAACCCCCAATCCATATTTACTTATATGAAACATGGATAATATTGTTTTGTTGTCCTATACCAATCACATAATACAACATAAAAAGGTTATCACGTGTAGTATACTACGATTGATCAAGAATAACAAAATAATGTTATTCCCATTTATATAAGTGTTTCTCGTCCTCGCGACATTCCATGGAACCAACTCCGAAGCACTCAAAATTTCCAACTGTGGGGCAATAGAAACCAGTTGAAAGAATCAAAAATTTGCCTCGGGACAAATGGTAAAGTACTGAGAGAGAGCTGCAAGAAATAGGCCCGTATGATCAATTCACTTGGTACCAAGTTTACCAACTACACCATTAATATTATATACCATATGTTATAATATAAGTTCCATGTATACGTGTAATTATTGTATATGTTGTCTGGGTGAGTTTTGAGAAGAGGGTAATTGGAATTATTTAATATAAAAAGTTTTGAGACATGAGAAAAAGAATGGCAGAAATCAAACCATGTGTTTGCCTAATTTAATTTATTTTTTTGATGTGATTTTATATTTATATTACCTTACTTTTACACCTACCTGAAGGTTACTCGTAGGGCCGCAGTTAATGTCCCTTTAACTTATTATATGTGATTGATGCCATAATAATATCATCAAGTTAGTGAGAGAGAGAGAGCTCAGAGAGGCCACCAGCCACTCCCTCTAACCTGTCTCACCAACTCACATCTAGAAGCAATTAGGGCCCCTTCTCTCTCTCTCCCCCCTCTCTCTCTTTCTCTGAGTCAAAAGGCTATAAAATCGTACGCCAATTCCTCGCAAGGGCCGGCCTTTATGTTGCAGCAATACAAAAAACAAGGCCTCCGTTTTCCACCTCCACCACCACCACTAGTTCAGCTGTAGCTAAAACCAAAAACACAACATAAAACAACAACAACAACAGCTCTAGCTGCTCCTACTTCTTCTTCTTCTTCTTCTAAAAAGTCTTTAACTCTTTTTTATTTATATAGTTTTTGATTAAATGGGAAGATCTCCTTGCTGTGAAAAGGCTCACACCAACAAAGGAGCTTGGACCAAAGAAGAAGACGATCGCCTCATTGCCTACATCAGAGCCCATGGCGAAGGCTGCTGGCGCTCACTCCCCAAAGCTGCTGGTCTCCTTAGATGTGGGAAGAGTTGCAGGCTGCGTTGGATCAATTACCTTAGACCTGATCTCAAACGTGGCAATTTCACTGAAGAAGAAGATGAGCTCATCATCAAACTCCATAGCCTCCTCGGAAACAAGTAAGCCCAACAAATCATATCCTCTGTTTTTTGGAACAGAGTTTTTGCACTTTCAAGTTTTTGAGTTGTTTAACGTTAATGGGTTTTGTTTGGATTGTTTTACAGATGGTCTTTGATAGCTGGAAGACTACCTGGAAGAACAGACAATGAGATAAAGAACTACTGGAACACCCACATAAGAAGGAAGCTTTTGACCAGAGGTATTGACCCTACAACTCACAGAGCACTCAATGAGGCAGCTCAGGATTCTGCCACCACCACAATTTCTTTTGCAGCTTCTGCTAATATCAAAGAAGAAGATCAAAAAAGCAGCATTATTAATGGGCTTCTGGGCAAAGACTCAAAAAAACCAGTTCAAGAAAGGTGCCCAGACTTGAACCTTGAGCTCCAAATCAGCCCTCCTTGCCAGCCACAACAACCCAGTGAGCCTTTGAAGAGTGGAGGGAGGGGGGTTTGCTTTTCTTGCAGTTTGGGGCTTCAAGATGCAAAGAATTGCAGCTGTGGAATTGACACTATTGGCAGCAGCACCACCAGTGGCACCACCAATGTTGGTTATGATTTCTTGGGCTTGAAAAGTGGGGTTTTGGATTACAGAAGCTTGGAGATGAAATGAGACTGGTTTTTCAGGTCATGAAAATATTGTCATATGTAGTTGGGGCTGAGTGGGAAGAGAGAATGAGAAAGGAAAAAAAAAAAAAAAGAGATTGCTCTTGAAAGCTCTCTGATTATTTTCTCTTTTGTCTCTAATTTTTATGACTGTTAGTGAATGTTAGTATAATACCAGTACAGCTGATTGATGATGGAAATGTCTTTGATCCTTTACTAGAATGAGTTTGTCTGCCCAAGGCCAAGTGTTTTATTATTCTATTTAATTTTTATTTTTATCCATTTGAGAGGACAAATTGGGATTTGTCAAATTCATACCAGATCTTCAAATCAAAAGGGTTAATGCTAGCTAGGTTATGGTGGTGGTTGTTACCAGCAAATTTAGGTAAGGGTTGGTAAATAATATAAGTTCTTATTGGCCTCTTTATGCACTCAAAATCGGGGGCTGCTGAGATTTTTTTTGAATTTTCTCTTCCAAGCACAAATGATCGCTCTACATCTTCTGTCAAACAGAAATAATGAAACTCTCACATGAACACAATAATGTAGTAGTCAATTCTTAACCCCCTTATTGGCAGAAAAACTTATAAGAAACGGTTATCATAGGTGGCTTATCGTGATTGATATGGAATAACAAAACATTGTTATTCCCGTTGCGCATAAGTGTTTCTCCCCTATTGAAGATATTCAAAAAAGCATATTTCTTTTTCTAATTTAAATTTTCAATGTCCTGCAAAATGGTTTTTATATTCAATATAATATTTCAATTCACAATAATTTTATCATATTTTGATTTTGAAATAATACTTGGATCCTTTATTGGGGTTTGTCTTTTTGTTGAGCAAGGGATTGAGTTTCATTTGAAGGAAATGGATAAGCTCTGAGAGGAGGAGAAATAAGGAAGATAGGGGTGGTGGTGGGTAACCAATCACTTCTTTAGTTAAAAGGCCCCAAAAAAAACCTATTAAAAAAGCGTGAAGAAACTAACAACTGTCCGTAGTGTACCATCTCTCTCTACCAACCT